TTTTTACTTTTTTTTTTTTTTTTTTTTTTTTTTTTTTGCTCTTAAAATATAATCTTTAGCGCGGTAAATGGAATAATATGTCAGGTTTCCTCGGTAAGACGTCATGACATTTCGCGTTTTGAATTTACAATCTTGAGAGTTTAAAGAAGTATTCACTGGATAAGAAGCAGATTATGCTGAGTTCTTATAAAAAGTTCACCTTTGCGCAGAGGGGTTTTGAAAAGTTACCACTGGCGCTCGGATTAATCTTTGGGGAATTGGACTCTTTTACTTTAAAACGATAGCATAAGATATCAAACGTAACTGCGGTAAAGGCCGACGCTACGAATATTGTGGAACTAATGTTTGCTGTGTTACTGTTAGATATAAACCTTATATATCTTTCCTTAGAAGACATTTTTAGGACGAGCTTTGCTATTATAAATGACTTGAAAAGGAGATTTGACAAGGACGCAGGCAAAATGAACTGTAGACTTTCTCTTCTCTTTTTCATTGTGTTGCCACTGAATCAACGAATTTCCACGGAAAACCTGTTTTCAGACGAGAAAATTTTCAAGGAAAATTGCCAGACTACGTTATTGATGGTTGGGATTTGCTGACAAATATTATCAGTGTTAAGAAATTTCGGAAACTGAAGTTGTTTGCCTGAATTTTCATGACTAACGAGTCAGACGAAGGAGCACGAGGAAACAAGAACATATGAAAAACATAGGATCCTCGTCTACATATCTAATGTGTCTTTTTTTTTTTCAGGATAAACCAATTCACAAATCTGCTCCATAGTACCGTGTGTCTGTTTTGCTTTAGATCACCAGTCATGATTCCATTAAAATAAAAAATAATAATAAAAAAAAAAAACGTGACAGAGTATACGAACCAGATGCGAGTATGTTGCTTAATTTCTTTTCGCATCTTAACGTCTTCCGTGATATAAAACGGAACAAAAACACGGTATAGTGTAGAACCTATTTTAGAATGAAAAGGACAAAGAACTAATTGAAGAGAAATTACAAGCTTGTCTCTTTTCAGCGATCGATGACTTAAAGCCTTGTTTTATGTCATACGGCACGTTTTTTAAGACGCCAGGATATCTTGCCGTCTTATCTCTTGTCAGAGATAAGCTCTTGGTCAAACTTTTTATAACGCCTCCTCAGCTCAGTGCGAAATGATTTTACGTTTAAGACTGCTAAAGAAAAAAGATGTTTCAAAGACGTTGTCTGTACTCTGATCGATCATAGAAACAACCAGTCACAACGCTCGAAGAAGTATGGAGGCGGGAAAAGGTTGTGCGTGGGTAATAAGCATAAATGTGCCACTAATTTGGAAATGGATGAAACTTTACGCTGTAAGTGGGCAAATTTGCTTAACTCTTAAAACTCTTTATGGAAAAGAACCGGCTCTTTTGAAACAAACCCCATGATCACGTTTTCATCTCAATAATTAACAGAGAAATGATACTTGAGCTCAGTAATTTAAAATATTCGATCTTCAAACTGTTTGAACACGTCCACAATTTGATAAATTGATTATGAAAAGCCCCGGCTATAGGGGGCGAGGTTTTTAACTCATTGATAGAGCAACGTTTGACGCAATTCTTGTCTCGCCGTTTACGACCCCATGCAATCTGAAACTGTGCAAACATTATCAACAGAAAGGTAGCAAAAATTCTTAATTGTGATTGAAATGTACCATGTCAGTGATGCAATACTGCATCGCGTAAACGAAAGTTTGCTTCGAAATTTATTATCTTTCCTAGTTATCGGAAGTAACGACTTTGTTTGGTGCCAGTTGCGACAAAGATGGGAATGACATTGAGTTTTTTTTATAGGACAACCGGTGGTTTGCAGTGATAGATTGTTCCCGAAAAAGCTTTTGAGAGAATAGAGATTATGAGTATCATTTACTTTCTCGAGAGAAAGGTCAAATGTTATTTGAAAGAAACAAAAGATTGATTGATGTTATTTAAAGTGGTGACGCCCCTAATTTCCTTGGCAAACCTTGCGTACTATCTCTGAAAAGGAAAAAGTTATTACCAGTGTAAAAAAAAAAACTCGCAGTAAGGTCAAACAATGATAAATCTTGCCTTAAAGCGTCGATGACGACGCAATACTTCATGAGAAGGTTTGCTCATTAACTCATTAAATTTTCACCGACGTCTGCCGGGCAAAGGTGTCATTTAAAGACCTTTTAAAGTCACTTTAAAAGTTCGCTACGTATCAAATTACAAATCTTCTTAATAAATATTCATGTCATATAGATGTTGTTTCAGTGTTCACAAGTCTTTTTGTTTTCCGAACGGTCATCCAAGCAACGTCGCCAAGTCGTAACAAAGGGTTTACGCGGCATTCATAGAGTTGCGTATACCGGCTACTAGGCGAGTTCACGCATCTGTATCTCGGACTCTACTCACGAGTTAAATCGATAGCGTTTACGATGAAGAAGGAAACGAAGCGACTGTTAGTCCGAGGGATTTTTTTCGTCCTATATTTAGCCTTGGGCATGGTGGTTTTTAGACAACTCGAATCCCACAACGAACAACTTGGTATACGGAAGGCCAAGAGAGCTGTAGAAGACATGTTGATGAAGTACAACATAAGCCACAAAGAGATGAAAGAATTCGTCGAAATTATAAGCGAGGCAGAGAATTGGGGCTACACAAGTGGATGGTTAGAAAAATGGAGTTTTATTGGATCACTTTTCTTTTCCGGTACTGTCATCACAACAATCGGTGAATATTTTTTTTTCTTTTATTTTCTTTTTTACTTTTTTTTTTTTTTTTTTTTTTTTTTTTTTTTCATGCCGTGAACTGTATAAAGTAAACTACATTGATGTTATGAAATTAAGATACGTCGGTTAGTTTGTTTTTATTCCATTGCGAGGAGAAATTTGCTGTCATATTATTAGCGAGTCTAAAACGCCGGTAAATGAGACAACCTCTTTCTCCATAAAAATATGTTCTCCATCAGTAGAATAAATGTTTGGTAAATTATGAACAAAACAATTATTTTTCTTCCTCAAGACCAAATGAGAGTTATAAATGGTTTGGTTGGTTAATGCTCAATTGTCCATCAGAAATGTTCCTTTTTACATATTGCTAATATTCAAATAAACTCTTTTTATTTTGAATAAAAAAAATGGATCGTTCCTGAGTAATCAAACGAGAGTATGTAGGCGAAAACGTCGCACAAAAAAAAAACAACAACAGTCAAATTTGATTTGGGATCGTGCCGTGATCAATCCTTCAAGTCGGTTAAAGAAGAAAGACTGTTATGTTTTAAAGATATTTAGTCAAATTCAAATTAGCACGTGGCAGAAGTTAGGTCGGGGTAACGTAAATAAAAACACGCGAGTTGGGCATAAATTAACGACAAAAGTGTGTGAAAAGTTTGCATTTAAATGACAATGTTCCCCGACGATGTTCAAACACCAATTCATATCGAAACGTTTATCATCAATCATTGTAAGCTTTCGATTACAAAGTTGTTAGAACTGTCTAATTATAAACGCAAAGTTGAAATTTGTTCAAGTTCCTTCTTGAAGCTAAATTTGTAACGCCTTCTGCTTTGACCTCAATTCCTTTGACGGCTTTTAACACATGATAAATGTTTTTAAACTTATCTTTGCTTTCATTAATTATTGAAATGAACAGCAACAATTTACATCTGTTTGAGCGACCAACTTTTTTTTCTTTTTGCATAAAACATCAAAAAGACAATACTTGTTTTCAGATTTTCTTTGAAATTATCATAACCTTAGAAAGCAGTTCTAATTAATTCCTTTCTTCTAATATCAACACATTGCATGGCGCATAATTATGTAATTCGTTACACATGATACCCATACGGTCGCACGAATCGTTCCGATTGCCTTCGTTTCTGATTCGATTGGGCTGATTCGTGAGATCGTATGGAAACTAGGCTTACACAAAAACTCGGTTCTATTCGGATGATAATAGTATTCCCAAAATTCATCAGTGAACGTTTGGCCTGAATTCCAAATGATCATCTGTATCTGTTAAATGACCTCTATTTGAAATGATTGGAGAGTCTAGTCGCTTAAATGAAAACTAAGTTCACAGAGGCGGCGCGTCTTGGCTCATGTAAGGCGTGAATCTCTTGTAAAGGCGAACGGTATGATCAATCAGAAATGTTTTTTGTTACTTTTTTTATACAAAAGCACGTCTATTAGAATCACAAAAGCATGCTGATTAGGACAGAATCAAGCTAAAAGGCTGAATCTTTCATTTGACCAAAGTATCTGGTGACTCTTTTGAGGTGCAGCGCAAAGGCAGGTAGCAATTTCAACTGAGTATGCGTCACGCAGTGATTGGCTCATTTTGAAGATGTATTTAAGAGATTTAGCACCTTATTTGCGTGAAAGGGCAAACGTCAGCTTGCCCTTTCACGTTTCACGTAAAACAGCGAGAATCTTGCTGCACTAGTTTCGCGTGAGCTCGTGTCACTTTGCAATGGACTGAAAGCCGTCTCATGTGTTAACGTGAGATCATACAGTTGTCTGATGAAAAAGAGTGCAGCCTTTGATGGATTTTCAACACGAAACTTCATCTTCCCCCATATGACATACAAGAAATAGATTTCATGCACTTTTTTTCCGGCAATTAACTTTCACGATGCGCGAGAATAGTGAAAGAAAATCATAAGTACGCGGCAAACGCGAAACAGCTTACTTCGCGTTGAAACTGCAAAGCGCAACCGGCAAACATGAAAAAAATGGCGGAAAAAATCGTGGTCAAGTAGTCACTCTTGCCATACACGTTTCACGAATACGCCGTGCTAAGTCTTATTAAATCTCCCTCTCCGCGTTAGGAAGTCACTGTCGTATAGTTGTGAATAACAACTATTTTCTATGTTTCTCTTATTGAAAAGGTTATGGACATTTCGCTCCAAGAACATTAGCAGGTCGTCTATTCTGCATGGTTTACGCTTTCTTTGGTATACCAATCACGTGGTTAATGCTGACGTCACTTGGTCGAAAAATCGTTGAGCACATTGGATTGTCACTACAAAACAGAAAATGTAAACCGGAGAGCAAGCTGTTTAGCCTGTTTTGTCTACTTGTTGCTATGCTGCTGGCAGCCGTTGTTATGGGCGTCATCGCTATAGTGGGAATGTTTGTAGAGGACTGGACATTCTTCGAAGGAATATATTTCGCTTTTATAAGCTTAACCACCATCGGATTTGGCGATTACGTTCCCATGCATCCAAAGTTTGATCCTGAAGATGTAGAACGTTCTTCGTTCGCGATATCTTTGTTTGTATTATTTTGTTTTTTGTTGTTTTCGTTCGGGCTTGCTGTCAATACCAGCGTTCTGTTATCGATACGAAAGATCATGGAGGATAAGACGATCTTTGGTTTTCAGTCGCTTTACGGTACCGATACTGACGAAGAGTCAGACATTGAAGAGGAAATAAGTAGAGAAACAAGATTAGAATGACTCGGACTTCATCCAGTTCATATTTTAACAAAAAGGGAGAGCTGAGAGAGTGTAATCAAGCAAAAGTAACTGACTAAATACCAGACAGAACCAAGAATCCCCCCCAAAATTTTGTTTATTCACTTTAAACTCACTTCAAACTCAAATAATCTGGTCACCAAGGGAAAGTGCTACTCTCAACTCGCGTGTTCCTCGAATGTTTGGGCTGGAGAATGAAAGAATACCACAAGAAATGAGCAAAATTGACAGGGGTGTTTTGCCTATTTCTAGATCCTCTTAAGATCTCCGAAAACGAAGGTGACGAACAAATGACTTTGAAAGGATTACCTTCGAGGTTAAAGCGTTGGACAAAGCTTAATCCTATCTCGTACAAAGTTAATCAGGGATAAAATATCTCATCGCCTTCAACTAGAAATACTGACCTAAAAGGGGTTTAACTATGCAGAAATGTTCCCCGAAGAAAACGAGACACCGTGAATACGATAAGTTACCCGCGGAATCACCAGATTACGACCATCTGCTTTGAAATCATTTGAGCATTCTACTTCTGTTGAAATAAACATTCTGTATTGTTTTTAAATCAAAGTAAAAAGTTCTTTATTTTTGGAGTGTCAAAATAAAGCCTTACCAATCTAATAAACATTCATGTCTCAGCCCACTCCTGCGTCCTGCGATTCTATAGGTACGCTCTCTGTAAACTGTTCGCATCTCTGAACAGATAATGTTCGCAAACAAATATCCGGACTTATTAACCAACTACACCTAGACGAGTACGAATAACGCCATAGACGAGTACAAATATCACGCGGTATTTGTACTCGTCTATTGAAGTACCGGTTAAACAGGTTTTCTCGCATCGCGTAAGCGAAGAATTGGATTGTAGTTACTAAAAAAAAAAAAAGTGGCGGACAATTTGAATCATAGTTCCGACAACGAAGAGTCACAATGGCTGGGAAATATAGATCCAAGTTCATTTGATTAATCGAACGAAGAAAAACAGGTTGACGACCAGAAAATTTCTTCATGATTTAATGAAGAAAATAGAAACAACAACACAACAACGCGCCAATTCCGTTCCGTTTCGCATACTTCTGTCACGCACTCCCCGTAAATAAATATCCGCGAAATTCGCCCGCTGAAAAAACAGTTTGGCGTGTTGGATAATAAATCAATTATTAGAAGTTTTGTTGTGTAGTATCGCTGAGTATTTTTACTAGTTATTTGAATTTTGACTCGCCCTAAGGGCTCGTCAAAATACGACACAACTCGTAAAAATACTCAGCGATACTACACAACAAAACGTCTGATAAGATATACATATTTCGATACGGTAGATCATCAGATCCTACTGGCTAAGCTGGGGGCATACAGGGTCACTGGGAGGTTACATTCATGGTTCACTGACTATCTTGGTGGACCGATGCAGAGAGTCGTTATCGAGGCTCCAGCGTCACAGTGGGCACCAGTCACCTCCGGTGTCCCCAATGGCCAAGGAAGCCTCCTGGGTTCTTTATTGTATACCATCTTTATCAGTGATCTCCCAGAAGAAATGCGAATGCTGTTTTAGTCGCATTATATGCTGACTATACGAACGTGTATCACAGCATCAAATCAATGGGCGACTGCATTTCCTTACAGACCACGCTTACCAACCTCGATGAATGTGCTGAAGGTTATTTTTTACTTATAACGTCGCTTCTAGAATAAAGATGAAAAGTGTAAGTTGCTTCCGGCGATTTCTTTTAATATACGAACCATTTTTCAATCTAATTTGCCTCCTGAAACTGCAGTTGAATACGTTTGAAAATATAATAACCTTAAAACGAAATCAGGAGTTTATTCATCTTTGCTGTTAATTCCTTGTTTCTCTTTGCCTAGCTTGTTTTTCTTCTTTTTATTTACACTAGAAAAAAAGTTGAAAGGAGTTAATGATATTTTCTTATTTCAAAAATCCATTTTCTTTCAGATGCCCATCTCAGCGTCAGAATGTCTAAAATGTCATATTAGCTTCCTTTGTCACCGTTTACTCGAAACATCTTTTACTTATTTCTATTGCACTGGCGCAAAATAATTCACAGAGTAATCCAACAAGATATTACTTTTAATTGTCTTTTAACCTGTCTCTTTCTGTTTCTGAGTTTAAGACATAAAAGGTTAAATTTTTCACCCGGTGACGGTGAAATCCTTTTTTTCGTAAGTACACAAACAAAATTTTGGTTGTTGGCGTAAACGTGCTCAGACCAACTCATTCTGAAATCATGTTCGCTTTGATGTTTTTCAAACCCACATCGACACCTAAAAATAATACTTACGGGTCTAGAGAATTCGGAAGGTCCGCCAGTGGTGAAGTCCCAATTAAAGACGGAAAATTGAGTTCTCATTCCAACCATAGTTCGTAACGCGTGTGGGAATCAAAGTATTGCTAACTCGAAAGCTCATCTCGTTGCTTTCAGCGTTTAAATGACAATAGTTATCCAAATCAAGCATCCTTTAACATATTTACTTTTCAGTTTGGGGTCCTAAAGGTCTATTTCAATGGGAATGGAACGGAAACTGGAAAATTGAAAGGGAACTTTGCATTCGATTGCAAATAAATTTTGTTTTGCAAAGAATTTCTTGCTGACGTCATAAGCATGCGCGATAGGATATGAAGTATGCGCGTACAAATAAAACAGTTACTTTTAATAAAGAATGCAGACCAATTTTGCATAAATACGCCCGAGAGATATCAGATCATATCTAAGAATTGGTCTTACTTCCCTAACTGTTTGGCAAATTTTCTCGTTAAGCTAGATTTCTCGAAATTTTGATACTTTCACCTGGAGAAATTCCTTACCGCGTGTGGACTCTGCTATAGGATGGCAAACCACGTTGCTGACCAAAATTCAAGACTCATGTCATGGTTTTCCCTCCGGAATAGGTTATGCAATTTCTCTCTCATCCATTTGCACGCTGGAATCATGTCGCACAAACTCAAGAATTTGCGAGGCGCAGAGTATGAGACAATAGCCCATTTGCGAATTACCATTGGCCTCATTTTCAAAACGAGTCCTCGTGCTCATCTTTTCATATGATAATAAGTTTCCATTCACATGCAAATTAAACTCATTTTCACAAGAATGGTTGAGCCCGAGGACTCGTCTTGAAAATGAGACAAAGGGTAAATCGGAAATGGGCTATTTGTTAATGATATCACTAAAATCTGAACTGCATTTAGCCACCTTTTTGCCAAATGCAACTTTTCTCTTCATAATGTAATAGATGATTTCTGATATATAAAATTCTTAATTCATTCATATACTATAGGAGCTACTTCAAAGTAATAAACTGGCCAAGTTATGACTGTATTGATTTGTATGCTTTTAAGGCAATTGAAATTAAGAACAATGATGAGGGTAGTTTAATCTACAATAATTCTTTGCTGAGAGGAAAGAAGAAAAAAATTTAAAAATTCCCATTCAATGCTTCTTGTGGGAGGCAAAACATGAATCTGCTCACAGTTTGTTCTGTGATAAGTAAACGGATTGTTTTTTTTTGTTTTTTGTTTTTTGTTTTAACCCCATTCATTTGTGCACAATTGTTCACAGAAGTGAATTTGATTAAAACGAAAATGATTTTTTTAGGGGAAAGAATTTTTTATAACTTTGCAAGACTTACCGGAAATTGAAGACGATATAAATACAGCTAAGAAATTGTGCAAGAGATTTTCCTATTAAGAATAAGTGTAAAGAGCTACAACAGTTGATGGTAATGTGAATTTTTCGCGATATATATTTCTAGAATTTGTTCATCGAAAGAACTAGAAGTATACAACAACAGGGGAAGAATATTTATATAAAATGGTTTAATATCAAATCCGCATCAATCAAAGATAATGCAAAATATTTAAGACCCATTGTTTTACTTTTGATGTGATATAGCTTTTTATAGGCGTATCTGAACTACTGGTTGGCTTGGTTGAATCACTTCATTGCCCACGTTTATTGCGACTTTTAACTAGCAGAATCTTTAATTGCATTGGGAAACAATTCTAGCGAAGTTAAATTTGTTGAGAACGAAAACAAAAATAAATTCATCAATGGAAGTAAAGCTGTCTTTCCCATTGTTTTTAATTTAAAAAAAAATGTATGGCGAATGTATTGTGAGGCAAAAAAAAACACTTTATTGTTAACAACGTTGATTCCCTCCTGTTTTTACATTGGTAAGACGAAAAACATATTTACCCTTCATGTTACTGGCTTGGCTTTTCACACGATACCACCAATAGAAAAGGTCATTGACAACTGGGGAAATCAAATTTCAGCTTTTATTAACGAAATTAAAATCTTGTAACTGCGATGGGAAATCGGATCTTTGTTGTCGAAAGCGCGTGGGCAGAAGAAGCATGCGCAATGAACACTTGGTCAATTTCCGATGACCGGTAATTCATCACTCCTACATAGATCGTATAACGGCACATGTTTGGTTCATTGTACGAGACGATTTCCTGCAAACAGTGAAATACAACTGCAGTGACATCCCCCATACGAAGCTTAATTACCTCAAAACACGTTTAAAAGAATGGACTGACAAAACCAAGGAAACGTCAGGAAATTGGCAGGAAAAAGCTCTGTCTTCAAAGAAGAAAAGCTACTAGCTAAGCACAGCGAGATTTACAGCATAAACGACGCCTAAACGTGAATAATAAAGCGACAAAAACCATACAAAGCATGTCAAACAGAAAATTGAACGCAAACACCGAGCTTTAATCAGCGTTGAGCGGGAGGCATGTGGATCGCCGAAAGCTCGAGAAATCTCTTCATTCAAATAGCTCTTTTTCTTGTTTATATATTTTTGGGAGCTGTCGTTTTTCAAGCGTTGGAGTCTCACAATGAAGAGGAGGAACGCAAAGCGATGCTCTTGGCGCGAGATCGCTTTCAGGAGAAGTATAACATTTCTCAAGATGACCTGAAATTTTTCATCGATCAAATCGAGCAGATAGCGGATCACGGGTTTAGCCAACACTGGATGAAACGATGGACAATTTTGGGTTCGTTGTTTTTCGCAGGAACCGTTGTGACTACGATAGGTGGGTTGACAATCAAATTTAGCTTTACATCTTTTCTAGATTTTTTCAGTAATCGTATTATTGTTCGCTAAAAAAATACGAGCTCGCACAATGATAAAAATGTAAGTAAGCCTCATCAAAAGAAAGTAACAACTCACTTTATATTGACAGAAAACTAACGCCATCATTTGTCAAAAATCCTTTCAAGGAAAATTTTGTAATTCTTTAATTTATGACTTTTTAAGAAAAATACATTATTTTCCATTTAGAAGCTATTTATTCAAGAGATTTGCGTTCTAATGAGTTTTCTAACAGAGATGAAAAGCATTTTTTTGTCTTATTACTATTCTCCGTGTAGGGTGCCCGTTTAAATAATTACAAATTCAGAAAAAAAAATTCATCTCCCGGTTGGTTGTTCATTTTTTCCATGTCGACAACAAAGGTAATCTTCCAGGACTCCATAAGCATTTTTGGTAAATTATATAACCAACCCCCAGGAAAGTTCAAACTGGGAACTTTCTCAATCTATGTTTTATTGACAACGCGCTACATAATTCATGTAAGTTCATGTAAATAAGATATTTCATTTTTTTCTAATTACAAGTAAGAATCATTTTTCAGTCTAGAAATTAACTGAAAATTGAAATGACTTCTAAAGGTACTACATCCAAAATCCTGTTGAATTTTTTATTCTATGTGGTAGAGTTTTTAGGGATTTAGAAAAAAGAAAAGGAGTTTTTATTGCTATGTTTTGGTAACTTGTGAATTGTTTCAAATCAAATTCTATCGTATCATGAACGACATTTTTCACTTACTGTTTCAGACTTCTTATCACTTAAAAGCAATATAAATGTTTGTGGGAAAACACCAAAAAAAAAACAGATAAGACTATTCTTATTGATCACTCTTTTATATAGTATAAGTATATGCGATGTAACATTAATAAAATAAGAAGTCCAATATTCCGTCTGTGGTTTGAAAAGCTTTTTATTCAATTTGCCAAAAATGTCATGCATTTCCCGATTTTGACAGACGAGGTAAACTTTTAAAGATGAAGATTGCATTACGAGAATTCGTATATCAATGAGCATATTTAGGAACAACTATTTAAGTTTCACGGATTGTTACCGATGCCAAGATTTTTATTCCATCAACAATTTCTTGTTAGCTGAAAAAACATAATCCTTTGAAATAATTTTATCTGTGTTATTAATTTCTGCAAAAAAAAGGCTTAAACAGTGTATTGTAGAAACAACTTTAACAGTTCAATCCTGTTTTTATTCAATTTCGAATTTTCACAAAATCTCTTCTCTTTTTGGCCAAAAAAGAACACCAAACCAGTTTCAAACAATATGAAAATTTATTTCACCACAAGTAATTATAATTCATTTGGCTTTTGAAGAAATTTTACGGGCAGAATCCTGTTAAAAACTCGGAGATATTTTTTGATGAGTCAAGTATTCAACCAAAATAATACGATAGAACTGCCATCTTCATAAAGAACCCTTACTTTTCACTTTAAAATAAGAACGATTCACTAAACACACTATCAGATACAAAACTGACATTTAATTTTGATTTTAGAGACGACAGCTCGCTCACCTCACAATTACAGGAAATTTTTTCATCCAAAACAGATTTACGACACAACCATTGTTTGGTCGTCGGCAGAGCAATTTTTGATTTTTCTCACTCCCTCATATACGTTTTTATTTTGATTCAATAGGTTGAAAAAAAAAGGATCTGAATAGAAAACAAAAGGATATAAATCATTTGTTGTTTATGCCCTCCTGTTCTGATTTCGTATGAAACATTACTGTCCAATCACGATGATTTAAGTCTTGCTGAAGGTTTGTCTTTTTGGAAACTTAACGAGATGAAAGTCCGTCGATGACTAAAGGCGCTTAGAGCACATTTTTACTTCAAGTGGAAAACATTTGCTTCAAACTTATTCCAGGTGTTTTCGGCAACATCGAATCCCGGAAAGGTAAAGCATTGTTGATAGCTATTTAACGCCAGTTTTTGCGTGGGAATGTGTTGTGAAAACATAGCTGAAAGACGTCAGATATCCAGTGTGTTTTCCTGTCTCTTGGTCGCATTTGTGTCCCTTTATGGTTGAGAAAAAAATCAATGATAGAACTTGTAGCTAAAAGGGTTCCGTGTTACTTGCCGTTGTCTACTGGTTGCACCTCGAATGCTATTCTGCCGGCTCGAAAGTGATTAAAGTGAATCCAAGAATAAGGACTAATTCAGGTCATAATTTTCAATATTTTGAACGGTTTGATCTGAATCAATGTCACAAGAAACTATGGAAAATACATCATTACTATGTGGGACCGAAAGTCATTCCAATTTCGCTTTGTAAATATGTTTTACTCCTTTTTAAGAGTTTTTCGCACAGAGCAAAATAAGAAATACAATCCCATCGAGAAAAAACAAAGTCTGGCCAGTAAACATCTCTGATACAGCTCCTTTGTTTCCTACAGGCACATCAAACTCATTAGGAGAAACACCCTTGAGCTAGTTGGACACTAAGCGCTAAAAAAGGCAAGCTTATCTCGATAGGGCGCACGAACGTAAGGGGGTGGTATTTCATAGATGTTAATTTTAATACTGAAAAGGCTATTTTACACAAATTACATGAGTTTATTTACGTGATGCTACACTTAAACCTCAGAAAAACAATGATGTCTTATGTTTTTACTTCAAAGTACAAAGACCTCTAATATTTTCTCATAGCAAATTTACAGACAAGTGTTCTTTTTGAGATTAAGATGGTAATCTCTTAAGGGCGTTTTTGGGGGGCGTAATGAACGAACAGCGTTTAAACGGAAAAAGCCTACATTTCAAATAATTTTGATTGAATTCAAAACAATGAATAACAATATACGATTTACACCCACCTGAAAATTTCTCACTCCAGTTTAAAGCAAGTAAACTCTGGGCAAACATTTGTAACCCAAGTAAGGTCTAAATTATCTGAGAGAGGCTTGTTATGTGTGCCTTGTGGATTGCATTTCGATATTTTCTCAATACTCTGTCTGAGTGGAAGAAAAGTTAAGATACAACAAATGACGAATGAAATGTTTTCTCCTGCACCTGACATTTTATGGCCGTGAGATCCGCCAGTGGAAAAAAATCGCTTTTTTTTCTTGGAAAAATCCCTGCAAAGCAAACCCACCATAGCCCGGTCTCTTTTTCAATCTAAATCAGAAACAAAATTAGGCTTATAGTTCAGTTAAATTTCATCTATTTTCGGTGAAATTCTGACTGGTTTTTCACGCATTCAAGAAGGTCTTGATAGCGCGTTCAATCTTTTTTTCTCGGATCATAGTTTCAAATTATTCATATACTTGGAAAATTGGTCAAACAGTGCCTGATAAAACTACGCTAAAATTTTTTTTGCCCTTCTTCCCCCAAGGTTATGGTCACGTGACGCCTTGCACAGATGCAGGCCGTATATTCTGCATCTTCTATGCCTTAGTCGGAATACCGCTGACCTGGCTCATGCTATCAACATTGGCGCAATACATCAACGCGTGTATTGGCCGAGTTCTGGAATGTTGCTACGAACGAGTTCTTCGACGAAACCCGGTTGGAATTGAGATTAAGTCTGCAGTAATCACACTCGCAATTAGTGCGTCTATGATTTTAATCATTGCGTTGTTCGGATGTTACTTGGAGGACTGGCGCTATCTGGATGGGGTCTATTTTGGATTTATAACACTAACAACGATTGGCTTTGGAGATTTTGTCCCGCTGCACCCTTCCCCTAACAGAGATCCCGAGGGATACAAGTGGCACGTGCTTATGTTCACAGTCATGAGTATTCTTTACTTCACTATCGGGTTAGCTATCGTGTCCAGCGTCTTGTTATCGATCAGAAACGCCATGGAAAAGAGGTCACTGTCTGGATTCCAAGTTCTGAAGGAATCAGAGGAAGACTAAGACCTAGCATAAATTCGGAGAAAACCCTGAAATACACCATAGGGACACTGTCAGTAAGAGAAATGTTTCAAACTCTGAAAACTAGACACTCCTCGTCATACCTCAAGATCTGTGAACACTCCAGAAATGAGTGCCAATGTAAACTGTCAACAATTTCAAAAGGAATTAAAAGTTATCAGCAACATCACATACACGAAAGATTTCGTTTAATTCTTTTTGTGTTATATATAGCCATTTCTACACGTAGCTATTCTAGATAAGAGACATAGTGAGAAAATTATTTTGTCCCTCTTTTTTTCCCACTTTTTTTTCCTCTTTTTTCCCTCTTTTTCCCTCTTTTTTCCCTCTTTTTTCACTCTTTTTCCCTCTTTTTTCTCTCTTTTTTCCCTCTTTTTTCCCTCTTCCCGCTTTTTTCCCTTTTTTCCCTCTTTTTCCCCTCTTTTTTCCCTTTTTTTCCCTTTTTCCCTCTTTTTTCCCTTTTTTCCCTCTTTTTCCCCTCTTTTTTCCCTTTTTTTCCCTTTTTCCCTCTTTTTTCCTTTTTTTCCCACTTTTTTCCCTCTTTTTTTCCTTCTTTTTTTCCCTTTTTTTTTCCTTTTTTTTCCTCTTTTTTTCCCTCCTTTTTCCCTCTTCTTTCCCTTCTTTTTTTCCCTCTTTTTTTCCCTATAATTCGATAACAAAGAAAAACTTGGCTTCTGCCGGCTCAGCCGGCCAATTCAAGTTCAAACACGATCTTAGATATTCCTTAACCACTAAGAGTGATCAACATCTCATTTCCTCTTACATGATCTCTCCCGAATCGCAGATTAAGGTAGTGAGAATAACAGAAATAATCACTGACTAAAGAAGCTCTAAAAAAACAAATTCTCCCATCAGCACGTCAGGAAATGTATACAGAACAACATGAAGAAGATGCATATTGATGTTAGGGTATAGGGGAGTAAAAGCATTGAAGTTAAAAACATAGCAATTGAAGTTAAAAATAAATTGAATTGAAGTTAATTGAAAGTTAAATTGAAGTTATTGAAGTTATTGAAGTTATTGAAGCAATTGAAGTTAAACATAGCATTGAAGTTAAAAACATAGCAACAACACCTTAATTCCCAAAGTTGACGGTTTTCCAAACTGTTGTGATCTTTGATTACATTCGTTTCTCAATATCCTACTACAACGCTTAGAGCAATCCAGACTTTCGAAGTCAGGATAGGCAGCTTGAACAGTAAAAAATGACTAAAAAAAAATGACGCAATTGTCAGCACAAAGGTTACAACTGTTTGTGATCGGTTGAATGTTATGGGGACACTGTAATTTTCGATGCTACTTAACTTTTATAAAATAGCAACTGTGAACTATACATGTTTTTGGTTTTCGATATGCAAATTAACTTTTTCAACCCGACGCAGATAATATTGCGCCAGGTCTAAAATTTCCTGAAGCTCAGTGGCTTTTCAAAGGTTAAAATTCCCCACATTACTACAACCGTCATCTGTTCATACTGATCAACTGGGTCAAAGCACCAGTTTTTTATTTCAACGTATATGATATAAAATAACACTTCCACTACAATATAAATATAAAAATAGAGAAAAATTAGGGATAAAAATTGGTGTCCTTCATCCAACCTGGCCTTCACTATCGGATTCACCGCAGGGAACTCCCTGACAGCGGAAGACCTAAAGAGACTTATTGGGGGACTTTCGTTCTTGACCTTTGACCGTCTTTCTCGCTAATGCGTAGCTATTTTGTCGCTATTAAATATCGAACATTATCGGCACTACAGCATTTCTTGTTACGGTCGCTAATGGTATTCGTGGGGTGACGTGTGGTCTCTTGTAAAATACTGGTTTTTCCATGTCAAGGTCATCAGACCTGTGAATATTAGATAAAAGATGACGTCATGGTTTGTGCACTTGACCCCAGATCGAGCGCATTCGAGGGCTGACCGCGTATGTTTGGTTGCGTGTGTTTGGTTGTGACTGGGAAGGGAATTTTACGATCACAGAGCCTTTCTCACGCCACCCAGAATTATGATTGGGTGCCGGAGAGTTTTCAGAGAACTGTAACGAGATTCTGAGGGTTAGACCAAACGGAAAATAACATCTCTTTTAATTTCTCTCCTTCAGTAAATAAGTGATTTTGAAGCCAGGTTTTAATCTCACAGCGCCTTTCTAGAAATACAAGTGGGTACTCAAAGGTTGTCGGGGGAACCGGTTGAAAATCTGTAAGGTAACCTATCACTAAATGATGGTAATTGAACCGAGTAGAGTGCAATTTGTATAGGTAATCACATGATTTAGAGTGCAATTTGGAATAAATAAGCACGAGTAAATTTTTTCAAAGACTAACAAAATTGCATGAGCCCGTAGGGCGAGTGCAATTTGTGGTCTTTCAAAAAATTTACAAGTACTTACTTATTCCAAATTGCGCGAGAAAATCATGTGATTATCTATAAATAATATACATGAAAAAATACGAGGTAGCTTCTCATAACTACGCAGAAGAAAAGCGCGCGCATCACGTGCAAATATAATTTATTGAAACCCTGCAAGTGNTGGTTGTGGCTGGGAAGAGAATTTTCCGATCACAGAGCCTTTCTCACGCCACCCAGAATTATGATTGGGTACGGAGAGTTTTCAGAGAGCTGTAACGAGATTCTGAGGGTTAGACCAAACGGAAGAATGACATATCTTTTAATTTCTCTCCCTCAGTAAATAAGTGATTTTGAAGGCAGGTTTTAATCTCACAGAGCCTTTCTAAGTATCCAGAAATACAAGTGGGTACTGAAAGGTTGTCGGGGGAACCGGTTGAAAATCTGTGAGGTAACCTATCACTAAATAATGGTAACGGAACCGAGTAGAGTGCAATTTGGTCTGAAATCATACGCGTGATTTCAAAATCGAACGAGCGCGCAGCGCGAGTTTGATTTGAAATCACAAGTATGATTCCAGACCAAAATTGCACGACACGAGGTTCAATTACCACTTTATTACATCCATCTTTAAATCGCCCAAATACATGACTTGGTCAATTCAAATCTTTTACTGATGCAGCCTGAGCCGGTTTTTAAATAAAAAGTGGAACCAGAAATGTTTTTACATCTTATTTTGTATGCAAAACAAAAAGACTTTGACATCATGTATCAAAAACTTAGTCAAGCGTAAGATGTGCGATTTAGAGCAAAAAATGGTGCGATTTGTGAATAAATCGCACCAATTAGAGCCAATCAGATTACAGGAACCACCAGTGATTTCAAAATGGATGTAATAAACTGAGGAATTAGCCCTTTGGGGCTATCGTGGCAGTTTCCGAATTCCCACTTAAATCCTTGATTTTCATTTACAACATCTTTTTAAAAACAACAACAGGAATCAAAGATATATCATTTCAAAGTTAATCTTTGCTTAGAAATCTGACGTTCATTTTAACTAGTTCAGTGTAGCTTTTTGATGTTAAAGCTTAAAAAAATTTATGGAACGGAATTTATAAGATATGACCGTCTGACTTACCACTCGCTAGTAATTAGTCCAGCTTGTGGATGGAATGGGTGAGTCTGGGGGAGAGGAAATCTTGGCTTTTTTCCTGTTTTATGCAATTTTAAAAAAAAACCATTTAGAGACATAATTGGTTAAAAAATTAAATAATTGAATCGTTTTTCGGTATACCTCGCGTTAAATGCATTAGTTTCTTAATTACCATCGTTTAATGAAGACATTAAAAAGGTTAGTTTTAGATGGAACTCTTCATGTATCTAAATATGCTTATCTCAGTTTCTAGATTCAGTTTTTGTTTCAGTTATACCATTTTGTTTATTTCATCTAAATTGGTTGGCAAAGATTGCAAAGGCATTAGCGTGGATCTCCGAACCGTTGCAGAATGCTAAAAAATGGTTTGGCTTAGTGAAAACCGGTCACCTTTTAAACCCTTTATGTCTTTTATTTCCTACGAGTGTTCCCTTTTTTTTTTCATTAAATATGTTTCATTTAAATTGTTCATGTTATCCATTTGTATCCACTGTGGATAAGTGTTCGTACAATTATTTAGCATAAAGAAAAAATTAATTAGCTATTTTTAAATGACATTTTTTAGATGTTATCTGCAAATGGAAACTCTCACTGCCTATCGTGGTATTATGCGTTGTGTTCGCGCCCGAAATAACTGCATTTTTGTGGATATAAAATCAGACAATTCAACGTTACAGGCGTTACGATGTTTCGTTTTAAATTTATTTAAATCTCAGAGCCAGATTTTCCAATTTTTCCCGATGCCCGTGCGCTCACGCGTAAAACAAGAGTTACGTCATAATGATTCGCATATGCGACGTCATTAGACGCTTCGTGCTTGAATTGCGCTCATTTCAAAATTTGCGCTTCGTAGGAAGATATGCACCGTAAGGAAACCATATTTTATGTGATTTGGGACACAGATACGGAAAAAATTTCAACATTCCTGGTTTGAAATCAGTTTTATCAGGCTAAGACGTAAGTGGACGAGTATGATTTGTGTTAAAATCTAAAGAAAGTTCTGTAACCGGGATGGCGAGAAGAAGGCAGTGAATCAAAACGGATTTGAGAAGATCAACGGCTTTGATGGTATTTATAAACTTTGGTAAACTTCCTTGCAACCTTCAAAAGAAAAACAAAGCCAATGAACCGAATACAGCAGCCTATATTTTTGCATTCAGGTAGATATAAACGAAACCTGGTGCGAAGTTTAAATTGATCAAAGTGACAATGAGAAAGAAAATTGAATTTTTCTTTACAATGGCCTCCTTTTCAAGGTTGTTTAACTTATTGGGTGAAATTCCTTGATATCTTCAAGAAGAGCTCTTTGGTCATATATTTTAATATGTAGCAAACTGAAGTAGCTGAACTGGTAAGAGAAACATTCCATTACTTAACAATTGGTTCATGCTTTAGCGTGCACTATCGAGTTATGGAGCACGCGGGGAGTTTGGAGAGCACGAAAGAAGCGTAAGAGTTGCCCGAGGCGATAGCCTCGGGCAACTCTAGCTTCTTGAGTGCTCTCCAAACTTCCCACGTGCTCCATAACTCGATAGTGCACAGCTGAAAGCATGAACCAATTGTTTAAGAACATAGCCGGTGGAATTGTGCATCAAATCCGACGCGAAAAACGGACAACAATATCTGTTGAAGCAAATCGTGACGGCGCTGATGCCGAGTATCCTTTTCCTTTGTTTTTCTCTTTTTCTGCCTCATTTAAGAACTCTAGCCCAAGGGAAAAGGTCCAAACATTGTCTTTGTTTTCGGACTAGTAGGCCGAGTTTCTGTTTGTAACCATTATTGTCGCGAAATATATTATTTTTCCCCGCGCTAACAATGGCCGCTCGCGCGAAAAAAAATTTCTGGCGAAGTCGGATTTGCTGACGCTATCAGCGTGCACTATCGAGATTTTGAGCACGCTTGCGTTTAATGAATTTGATTGCGCGACTCTGCTAGCTATGTTCTAAAACAATTTGGAATGGTAATAGCACCGAACGGGGTCCAATTCTGTCTGTAATCGTACAAGTGATAACAAAATCGGACGACCGTGAAGTGGGAGTCTGGTTTGTTAATCACAAGAATAATTACAGACCGAATTGGACAATATGAAGTCCTGTCGCCCATTATTCATTTCTTTGAGAAGGCGCTTTCAACATTAACCCAATGTCTTGGATTTTAATCATTACAATCGGAGACATTGTCTAATGTAAAAAAAAAAAAAAAGCATTATCTATTTTGGAAACTCCCCGGTTTTTTGGGGTGAGTAGTTGTTGCTATGGGAATTGTAATCAATATTCTGTGATTGGTGGATTTAGCTGAGTGGACTTGATATGATTGGCTGTTTTAACTGTCCGATTACAGGTGTCTGATTACAGATGTCCGATTACAGGTGTCCGATTACATCCAACTGTCCGATTACAGGTGTCCGATGACAACCAACTGTCCCATTACGGGTGTCCGATTACAACTCTACAGAATGATTAGTGAAAAATTATGCAGCTAACGCACCAATCACATTTGAGGAAATTGTGTTGGTTATGGTTAAAAAGGCCGATTGAAAATTCATGCGCAATCTCTTGACGGTCACTTCCATGCAATTGTCGCATTTCAACAGAACGCCTTAATTGCTGGTATTTACCATGAAAATTTCTTCTTGGGAAGCTTCGGGAACTTTTCAAACAGCCTCAGAGGGACTCCGTAGTTAGATGTACTTTCCTCTGAATAAATGTCATCGTCACCAGTCTTCGCCCGTCGAAGATGCTTGGCTAGACGCACGCAGAGGATGATGGTTATTACCGAAAACATAGTGATAACACCAAGACTCAGCCACAAAGCATTCTGGGAAGATATAACACACCACAAAGTCTATGATAAATTCTAGTTTAGAATTTCAAATACTATAATATGTGTTTGGCGTTCTCTGAAAATAATAAGCCGTGAAAAAGATCAACCTGAATCTGGTCAATTTAGAATATACTATCATTCGTAAACAATTTGTCCCAATCTGTTAATAAGTTACGCTTAATGCAGAGAAGTTTCACACAGCCTGTTTCGCTCACTATAAATTATAAATTATCAATGCTTTAACACCATAGTGAGATCTCTAATATTGCGCAGAATTTCAACTTTCTAGAGACTAGTCATTGTAATCTCCTGAGGCTGGAAAATGTAAGGGGATCACATTGGGTTTTGAGGAGGAACTGAAGGGGAATCAGTCATCACCAATGGAGTATAAGGGGGTGGGGGACGGGAGGGGCAACCTCGTTCCCAGGGCCTTTCCCTAACTAAGGGAAAAGGCCCTGGGAACGAGGTTGCGGGAGGGGGCTATAGTAAATTGGCTGCTAATTAATTGCCAGTGAGAGGAGGTATCATTAAGACTACTGTGAAGTCACCAAGAGTCAATTCCCGTTTCTTTTTTCTCTGCTGTGAGCTTAATTCTCCCTACCCCGCTTGCTTACCAATTCTAATCTTAAGAAAACAAGAGAAATCATGGCTAGATAAAACACAGAAGTTTTTACTCACCACCAGGGCCACAGCATTGTCACATGCATCAGATACTAACACATCATATACATTTCTGATTGGTTGACAGTCTCCCACATCATTTCGAAGCTGAGTAAAAGATAATAGAATAGGAAAATGCTCTCAGTAGACCAGAAATACTGATAAACTGCTGCTAAATGGAAAGTTTGATTACTAATCAGTTGAAGTGTCTCAGTAAGGAAAAAGGAGATCAGGAACAGAGGTGTACCTAGAGAAAGGAAATTCCTATTACTGGCCACCGAAATCCAACCTACAAAATCGCGTTACCATAGCCAGCTCAGAAGTTCTACCACTGTTTACAGCTCGTGGAGGCTATATCATCAATTACGAAGTCACTACCGGCTCTTGTACAAATAAAATTTTGTTGAGCGCATTACGTGATGTATTAATCATTATAAAAAAACTAGATATTTAGATAATGCAAATCAAGAGTTTTCATTGGCTTAGCTATCATGGATTATAAACCATTTTACAATGCGCGCGCATTGTACACGGTAACATTCCGTTTTTTCTTACAAAATAAATTTGGGAAGATTTATCAATATGTTAGGCGTTTTTTTATAAAATAATTATTCTACTCGCGCTTATTGGATGTGAAATGATTATCTACCACCTCATATTCAACGCACGCTCGTGGAATAATTGTTCATTATATGATTAGCTAAATCCCATTAGCATTTTGATTAGTACTTAAAGATGATCTCATCTATTGGAGGACAGACTCATAGATGACTTCACTATTATCAACATTATGCTTCTTCAAAACAAGTAGATTCTATGAAGCCGTCGGTCTGTACAGTAATACATCAGAGAAGATGATGAAATGTTGAAAGATCATCGGTGACACTCGGTTGCGCCTCCTCTGGTACTTTTTCTGTTCTTACCACATTTTAAAGTAATCTATTACTGAACAGACCTATGGCTTCATTTAATATATTTGTTGCGTCAATCAGGCACATGCAAAAATGAAATTTATTTTTCAATCAGATTGGTTGACAGAGTTAACAAAAGAGCTGGTTTATTATAACTTCGTTACATCTAAAAATAATTACTAGAGCTGTTATGGCTCCTGATGCTTTTGGATAAATTAAAACAGAGAGGAACATATGGTCAGGGCGTTACTTTATCTATGGTGTCTTTCAAGTATTCGTCCATCCATCCAAGTGTGCGACTCAAAGACTTTTTTCCTGCCTGTTAAAATAGAGAACACCAGTTTTTACACGAAATCGATGATATATTGCTTTCGATCCTGGCGAAATATATCAAGAATTTGATTCAAAATTAGAAAAAGTTGCAGTTTGAGAGATCAGGCTATGTCCATTCATTTGGCTTTGTACTCTAATAAGTCTCTACGTTCACACTTTGTTTAATCCGTATATGTTGTGCTGTGACTGTTATTACCTTAGTAACAACCGTCTACTCAAATTTCCCACAATGCATTTAATTTGAGCACAAGGTTATCGATTGTGCCCAGGGCATCGTTACGATTAGTTTTTAATGGTTAAAAATGAACGACAAAGCGGATGTACGTAACAAATCTGAAAACTGCTGTCCCAGCCCCCCCCCCCTCCAAAACTACAAACCTCATTGGCTAGTTCTAAACCATCGCTTTCAAGAACAGTTTTCAGCCTTTCGCGGAAAAGGTCAATCTGGTTGGCGTCGTTCTAAAAGGGATAAAGAAAATACGTTTTAAGAGAAACAAACTACTTCGAGCCGTTTTACATACATGTAAACATAATAATCTTTCAAGTGCTTATGGCGCAGTTTGAACAAAGATTGAATAGGTGTGATGAACTCAGACCAAATTGGATATTTCTAATCAGGGTTTTTGGTCTGCGAGAAAAATTGACTTTTTTTCAAAGTGTTTTTAAGAGCAGATCTAAATTGATTCCTTCTTTATAGCTAAGAAAAAGTGGAAAGTCTAATAACACACAGAGATGAAATAACTGACTTTGAAAATAGATTTTGACGAGTTAAGGAGTTTTGATAATGTCTTTTACACTACTTTTCATAACGAGCTTTTTGATTGGATTCCAAAGCCACCTAAGACCCGAATCAAAAATTGACCCCAATAGATTTTGACGAGTTAAGGTGTTTTGGTAATGTCTTTTACACTACTTTTTCATAACGAGCTTTTTGATTGGATTCTAAAGCTACCTAAGACCCGAATAAAAAATTGACCCGAATCAAGAATTGAAAATAGATTTTGACGAGTTAAGGTGTTTTGGTAATGTCTTTTACACTACTTTTTCATAACGAGCTTTTTGATTGGATTCTAAAGCTACCTAAGACCCGAATAAAAAATTGACCCGAATCAAGAATTGAAAATAGATTTTGACGAGTTAAGGTGTTTTGGTAATGTCTTTTACACTACTTTTTCATAACGAGCTTTTTGATTGGATTCCAAAGCTACCTAAGACCCGAATCACTCACGACGGTCAATTGAAAATTGCACTAAAACTAAGAAAAACAAAAATTTACACGGAACAACTTTAGCTGCGAGGGTCCAAAATTTATTCTCAATAAAAAACAAAAATCAGCCATTTTGGCAGATGTGCAATTCGTTCGTTGCAAAAAATTGCGTGTTACACAACAAGTGAAAAGATCCTCGGAAGTGAAGTAGGGGTTTGGATTCCCCCGAATCTGCAACTGTAACAAGATACCTAATAAAGCTACGTTCGTACCAGTACTTTCATGTTTTTCGTCATCAACGTCTGCGTTTTCTGAGCTAGCTCGCCCTGCAAGTTACGAAAAAATAATAGAGGAATGAACTAGTTTAGGCAATAAAATAGAGAAAAGGAAAGAATTCTTGTTAGCAAACAGCTTACCACCAGCGGTTGCGATATCAAAACTGTGTCGTCATGTAAATTGTTCAAAGCATCTTTGGTGGAACGTAATTTTCCAGCAATTCCGGAGTTCACCTAAAAGATGACAAGAATGCATCAAATGAAGGGGGAAGAAGCTAAGAGACTGTCTCTTCCATAAAGTCCCCATTCCGAAGGTAACCTCATAATCTATTTTTACCTTATAGGTACTTAGTCTTATAAGAATAAGGTTTGTATGATGCACGATCCTCGCAGTAGAGAGCGCTATTTATGCAATAGCGAAAATCAGACCTGAAAAAAATCAGGCCTGTACGGGACTCGAACCACTGACCTCTGCGATACTAGTGCAGCGCTCTACCAATTGAGCTAACAAGCCAACTGGGAGCAGGCCGTTAAGTTGATTCGTAATAAACCCGTGAAAGTGATAAATGAGATACAATGAATATATGAAGTTCATATATTTCATTGTATCTGATTTATCACTTTCACGGGTTTATTACGAATCAACTTAACGGCCTGCTCCCAGTTGGCTTGTTAGCTCAATTGGTAGAGCGCTGCACTAGTATCGCAGAGGTCAGTGGTTCGAGTCCCGTACAGGCCTGATTTTTTTCAGGTCTGATTTTCGCTATTGCATAAATAGCGCTATCTACTGCGAGGATCGTGCATCATACATATCTAATACCGCAGTTCAAAATATACGAACTTCATATATTCATTGTATCTCAAGAATAAGGTTTGTTCCCCAAAATAAACGTTCCAGGAATCAATTGAAAACAAGTTGCTTTCGTTCGTTTCACTTGGCTTCAATGGCGTCCATCTATTTCATAATGAATTCGACCGTAACATAATATGAACTCTGGACTCTGGGCTCTACAATCTAAACTCAGAACTCTGGACTCTAGACTCTGGACTCAGGACCTAGACACTGGACTCTGGACTCTAAACTCTGGACTCTGGACTCTGAACTTTAGGCTCTGGACTCTGGACTCTGGATCGAAAGATCTGTTTGGAACCTTGTTTTTATGTTCTTGGGACAGGCACTTTGCTCCCACCTAGTGCCTCTCTTCCCCAAAGGTATTAATGGCAACTGGTGAACTTTTAAGGAAACTTGAAGAGATGTGGGGGACGGGGGGGACGGGTAATACCTCCAGTCATTTCATGCTACAGAAACCGTTATAAGCTCCAGCGGTAATGGGGCCACTAGGATTTCAAACCGAACCCAACATGACACCACATTGTAACTCACTTGACCATCAGCCGCTGTTCCCAACTCGTTCGCAAATGTGGTCAATGAAAGGTTATTCTTCGTGAGAGGCAATGCTGTCTGTTAAATGAAACAAAAAAAAAGCCTTTCAAAAATTTTCACCGCGATGTAATAGTATACAAAGACAAGAAACATCAACGCAGTATAGCCCGGTGACTTCCGGGTATAGGTTACTAAGGGTCTAAGAGGTCTCAAAGATGCTGATGTTTCCACTCTTTCTTAAAACTTGTCGGAGGGCTTCACCTGTTGAAGAGTTGTTTTGCTGTAGAAATATGGGAACGCATACCGCGTAGACCTTTAACTGTACTGCATCTTGCTTTCTTATAAGATTAAGTTCTTTATTTGAAACCCTCGTTACATATCCGAAGGGCCTTCCTTAGCGGCTACTTTCCAATGATGCGGCATAAACCATAACAGCATAACTACTACAGACTACACTGGCAAAAACGGCCAGCATACGAGAACCAGTGAGAATTCAGCAACTACCACGTCATCGATATAAAGGACGGTAAAATATAGGTAAGATGCACGCGGTTGGTTGTGGCCCTGAGCAGAAGTGTGAGATCTGTAAGCGAGGAAGGAGTGCTGGGAAATGGTGTGAAGTCTGCTGATAACTCTGGAAACCACTAAGAAAGAGTAAAACCTCAGGGGTAATGCCGAATTGTCTCCGGAATGAAATGATGAGCTTTACCTCCATTGAAAACTTGTAGAATTCAATCTCCTGGACCCCAGAGGTATATGTATCATTGATAGCTTTCCTGGTGTCATCTGACACAAGTTCCAAATCTGTTATGCTGCTGTTTATTCCAGCCAGAATTTCGTCCATCGGTGGAATTTTCTGTTTGAAATGAAAACATTTGTTGATATTTCAGCGTAAAGATTCCATTGCTATTAACTTACTCGTTGCTCGTGAAGTGAGTACGTCAAAAATACTGTCGAGACATTCTGAAAAACAGAATTGGTTGGAGGGTGGATTTTACATAGAGCTCCATGACGTGAACATTGAACACTAACTTACGTCTCTATAGCTTGTCATATTTTCAAACTTGAATTTACTGTCCATCTTCAGTAGTTCCCAGGGCGTCTCTTTTTGATCACATCGCCTGTGAAATAAAGAAGATCAATAAGAAAACTCCAACACTTTTTTTTTTCAGTTTTCTGATGACCCAAACACTTGGAACCTTTGGTGTTCAATTACACTCTTTAATAAAGATGAGGATTGAATAGGCGATCAAAAACAGCTGAAAAAATGTAATTCTGTTAGTACACATACTCATTCTTAGAGCAGAGAAATTAACAATAAATGATTATTATAGTTTTAATGCAGTAGGCTCGATGATCATGTTGAGGTATTGATCTTGGATCGAAAAATCTCATCCTCTCCCTCCCCTCCCATGTCTCTGTCGTTCCAGACTCATTCCCATCAACTTCCTCTAGGTAAGAAGTATTTGACGAAAACGTACTGCGTTAAGAGAAGTCCGAATTCTTAATTCTCTCCTCTGGGCATTCTTCGGCACAGTTCTCAACAGGACCACGTTTTTCCGGTCTTGACTCGCGCTTTTTCAAGAGTAGAAACTGGGGACGAGGGCATACTTTTCACACCACCTACTACCCTTGCGTTACCTGAGTATATCAGACAGTCGTATGTCCAAGATTCCATTTCCCAGCACTGCCTTGGATATGGGATAGTATCCTAGAGTTGAAGGGTCGTCTATGGTCTGGAACATCGCAAACACAAACAAATATAATATTCTGTTATCGATTTTATTATCCAACTGTGTTTCGTAGAGTACACTACAACACCCCAAACGAATAAAAATTTCTCGCAGTATTTGTGTTCCAGATCGGTTAGACACTGGCCCGCACTGAAATAACCATTTGGCGTGTTGGATAATATATCTCTTATTAGAAGTTTTGCTGTGTAGTATCGCTGAGTATTTTTATTCGAATTCGTTATTTATATTTTGACTCGCCCTACGAGTTTGTCAAAATACGGCACAACTCGTGAAAATACTCAGCGGTACTACATGGCAAAACGTTTAATAAGATATATATCTGGAGGAGATGCCTTAGCTGGCTGTATAGTGCTCAATACGTAAAGTAGTGCATAAATAGAAATAGAAAAATTGACAACGAAACAAAGTTTCCGTGACTCTTAGTTTCATGCTTTCGCAATCATCAGACGGTAGTTATTCCAATGGAAGACATACCTTATATACAGAATGTTAATTATGCGGTGTGAAACTTAGTTCTTATAATTAGTGACACGTGATTCTACTGAAAGTGAATAAAAGCTAAGTTTTAAAGTTCGATAGGTAGGATTTGTTTAGTGACACGTAATTCTACTGAAAGTGAATAAAAGCTAAGTTTTAAGTTTGATAGGTAGAATTTGTTTTCGTGGCGGCATTTGGAAACTAGTTCAGATCTCTTGTTGAGTAAAGTGTTTTTGTCGGCTTGGAGAATGCGGACTTTTTCTGCGAGGCACAGATTACATTTCTTAGTTTTGTTAGAGTAGGCAGGAGCGTGGCAGAGAATAGACCAGTGAATCGAGTAGGTTATTTGGCTGTTTTTCAGATCCCAGATGTGCTTTGATAGTTTAGTGGAGTTGGAGTACTTAGGATCGCGGAAAGAAAGCGTGTGTTGGTTGTAGCGGCGTTTAAATGTACCTTCTGTGAGACCTATGTAGTTTTTTTTCCATTGGGGTCGTTGTTCGTTGTGACGTTGGCTTTGTAGATCAGACTTGTAGAGAGACATTTATTATTTAGGGGGCAAATAAGATGTATATATATATATATATAAAGTGTGACTTGATTTTCGTAGAACAGTGCTCAATACATAGAAGTAGAGCGAAGTATATATTGTGGGAGGAAAAAGACAAGTAAACTACAAGTTCATCCCTACAAGCCTGTTTCGTGGTCGCCCACTCATCAGGGGATTTAATGAGAATAAACTTTACCATTGCTTATATACAATATAATTTGCATGATCTAACTAGTCTAATTTATGCAGCGCGAAATTGACAGTTTAGTTGTTGCGTAGGAGGGCTTTGCTTCTGTGGCGGCATGAAGACACGAGTTCATTACGTTTGTTTAGTGTTGATAGTTCGGGCCGGCAGATGATTAGGAATTTTTCTTTGAGGCAGAGGTTACATCTTTTAGTTGAGCTGTTATACGGTGAGTGCGATGAGAGAATGCGCCAGGAAATAAAGTGATCGATGTTGTTGTCTTTGAGGGTCCAGATGTGCTTGCTGAGTTCGGTAGAGTTTCTGTGTTTAGCGTGGCGGAATGATGCGGTGTGGTTTCTGTATCTTGTTTTGAAGTCATTCTCTGTGAGTCCGATGTACGTTTCTGTCGTGTTGTTGTCTTTGCGTGTAACGGAGGCTTGGTAGATTACTGATGGTTGCAGGCAGTTTCCGTCGAGCGGGCATGTGTTCTTTTGTCGGCAGTTGCATGTCTTGTTGTTATCAATGGTAGTGGCGGTGGCGGCGGTG